AGGTCTTCAAAAAGATTATAAAGCTCTTGACAGATAACCAATCAGGATTTGAATGCACCGAATCATCCAAAGAAGAAGTCAACGAGTTTTCATTATTCTTGTACGCTTCAAAAACTTCTTGTAAGCTATGGCAATACGAAGCATCATGCAGGTAGAATTCCATCTAGTTGGAACATCAGGACATAAATACTTTTCCCTTCAACCACAATCAACTCTGCAAGTTCTGTAAATTTTTCCGCCTTAGATGAAGAACTCCTCACCCACCTAACACCATCCCTAATCCTCATTTAAAAACAAATTGGTGTCTTGGGATTGTTCTTCTCTTAGAGCCTAGTATGTTGCTCATACTTCGAATTTGGTTGTCCAGAATGGTCTGAATTAGCAGATTCTTCTTTTTAGAGGATTAGGGATTGAGTTAGGTGGGTGAAGAGTTCTCCATCTATGCTGAGAAAATTTACAGAACTTGCACAATTGATTGGTGTGGAAAAGAAAAGTTTTTATATCTTGATGTCCCAACTAGATGGAATTCCACCTATATGATATTTCGTACTATCATAACTTGTAAACAAGTTTTTGAAGCGTACATAAATGAGTAAACAACTAGATAGAATTCCACCTATATGGGTGAATCAGAGAAGAAGAAATTTATAACCTTTTTTGCCAACATATTAGGCCAGAGAGATAAAGTTGAGTACAGGTAAGTCCAACTGAATCAAATGTATGGTGACAACCAAGATAAATCATGTTTTGAGAAGATAAAGTATAAACTAAATGTATTATTTGAAGAGTATGTGGCAACGTTATCTGAACCTTCTACTACTGTGATGCCTTCTCCATCTGTTTGATGTTAAAATGTCTCCTTTGGAAGGCCAAATCTAGATTAAAAAGTCAGTTAAAGAAGCAAAAGATGGAAAGCAGGATCTTCCTCAACAAAAAAAAGTAAGTGTATGTATGTAAGTGAGTCTACCATAGATGATACCAATGATTTTGATATTTTAAGATGGTGGAAGGGGATTAGTGAAAAGTTCCCTATTCTTTCAACTATGGCATCTGAATTGACATTTAGTACTAGTGACAGGATCTTAGATAATTTAGGAGTTCTCTAACTCCTAAAACAGTAGAAGCTCTTGTATGTAGACAAGATTGGCTAAGAGCCCTAGTCAACCAATTGCAGTAAAAAAAACATGGATGAAATTGAGAAGTTTAAGAAAGGTACGCCATTGATTATGCATGAGTATTCCGTTTCAACTTATATCAGTACATAGTTGAGTTTGTTTATTTATATAATCATACAAGTGTTCTTAAACATGTAGAAATGGCAAATATAAAAAGAGGAAGTTTTATCTGTCTGTGAGGATTCTCTTCCAACAGTTAATGTAATGTCAATTAATTCCCAAGTTGATCATTGAATTTTTTAGGTAATGTTTATTATGATAAATCTGGTGTTTCTGAAAACAGGAACAAAAACAACCGAAAAATGCTGGAAAGTTAGAAGAGAATTTATGATGATTGATGAAGGGAAATTATGGATGAATGAAGAATTTAAGATGGTATCATATATTGGCTTTTAAGAGTTTGAACTTTTTGTTAGCTTAAATGTTAGAAGTTTGAAATTTTGAATGTCTGGTTAATGGGCTTTGTTTGTTAGTTTTACAAAATCTCAAAATTTTGTATATTTGAATATTTTTACTGCAAAAAAACGTCAATAAACCTCGAACAACCCAAAACCTGCGGGTTTCCGGATTTGATTTTCGAGGAGTGAGAATATCCAAAACCCGACTTGTGATCACCCCTACTTATTAGCACACTAGTGACATTTTCATTAAGTATGGCAAGGGGAAGACCTAGTTGAGTGTCGGACAAATGTCAATTATGCTATTATGTTTAAGTATTCTCTAGTAATGTTATTCGGTGCACATAAGCTAACTCAAATATCACGGATATGTTAAGAAATGTTTGTAAATAATCACTTGGGTTGTGGCCCAGACTCGCGGGGATGTAGCGGAAATCTCATCTTCTATGTGTTTGAATCTAGGCATTACTAAATCCCTTGTGGCCATAGAAGTTTGTCTGTGATGACTTCAGACCATTCATAGTTGTTCTGTAATAGTGAGGTTATTAAACAAATAATTTTATGTCTGAAAAGGACTTCCAAATTATCATATTGTTTTCTTTCATTTTCTTCAGTGAAAAAACCAAAGGAATTAGGTATTTATAATGACGTTTGATATTAGCCTTTTCTTTTACTTGTTAATGATGTAAAATTAGTAATGAGAAATAAGGGTTAGATTTTTGTGAGAATGGAAGTTATGGTGAGAAGGATAAGAAGAAATCTTATATCAATCTTAAATTGAAGATCAACACTAATGCGGTGTATCGAGATGCACCAGATCAATTCCTATGATAAGCACAATTCATGAGTGGGGATAAAATTAAAAATGATCAAAAGACCAAATCTCTTCTTATACTTTTCATCATAACTTCAATACTCACACGAATATTATCTTAGAAAGAAACAGTTTCAATTATATAATATGATGTTGATCAAATTAAATAATAATAAATTATTATTAACAGTTAAAATATTTATATTTTATTGTTAATTTGTTCTTTGTTCTTTGTTAATCGATCCATGATGCTAATTAAATTTGGTTAAAGTTGAGTAAGAGATATTGTTAAATTTCTCCGCAACACACACACACATATAGAGAGAGAGTAGTGATTAAATACAAAGTTACAAACCGTTTTATTTTGTACAAACTGTATAAACTACCATCAACTAATAGCATAATTCTATTTAATTTTCTTTATGTTTAATCCATACGGGTATAATTGTCCTTTGACTTTATAATAGATAATTTTAGTAATATTTTAAATGTGATTAAATCAGGAAGATTATATAGATTAGAAGTTTTTTAGGAAATGACCAATCAATTTGTTTTTATAATAATCTTGAAACTGGTAAATTTTTAATATATACTTACTAACATTAATATTTTGTATTCTTTTATTAAATAAAAATAATCCGTCAATTTCAGAGTTTATCTATAATAATCTTTTTCTTAGAAATTTATTTATTTCATTTTCATAATAACAAAATAAATTGTTTTTTTCTTCAATTTACTAATCTTTCCATATTAATTAATATTATAGTTGTGATATTTACCAGATTTTGAGTATATTGTTTTGTTTCATTTGTAAAATTCATGAATAAATTGATTTATGTACAAATTTCATTAATAAAATCATGTTATCCAGTTTTCAAAATGTTTCATTCATGAAACTAATTTCATTAATAAAATCATATTATTCAGCTTTCAAAATGTTTCATTGGTCGAACCATATTTAGTTACATTAATAAAACCAATTTCATTTTGGTTAGGAACCATGAAACCAATTTCACTGATGAAATATGTTCTTTAGTTTTCAAAATATTTCATTCATAAAACCAATTTCATTAATGAAATCATATTATTCAGTTTTCAAAATGTTTCATTCAGTTTTGAAAAATGTTTCATTCATGAAACCAATTTCACTAATGAAATCATATCATTAAGTTTTCAAAATATTTCATTCATTATTGTTGATTCATAATATTTTTTAGAAAAAAGGGATTTAATTCCAGGAAAGGAGATTTTAATGATCTCAAACGTTTAAAACTTGTTCTCATTTGGCCCTTTATTGGAGAAATAATAATAACTTTTTTTTGTTTAATTTTTTTACTTTACTAAAATAACTTGTTTTAATTCTAGTGGTGGGATAGTGGTCAAATGGCTAGGGCCTGGGAGTAGGTAGGTATGACGAAATAGTGACATGGTGTTTAGTGTTAGGATGGGGTGCGGGTAAGTGTCGATTGTGAAGGCGACCATAGTGATATGGGGTGTTGGGGCAGTAGGGCAGGGTGGTAGCTGTGACGACGACAGTGGTGGGATGATGGTCGGATGGCTGAAAGTGGGCATCAATAAAAACATTTAGTCAAACCTAATAACATTTTATTTCAATTATATTTTATTCCTTTAAAAAGAAAAAGAAAAAGAAAAAGAAAACATTGTGTGTCACTTAAAGTAGAACCAATAAAATAGAAAGTGATGATTTTTGACATTGATAGTGGTGTTTGTGGGTTCATCTAAAACTAAGTAATAACATGCCATTGCCCATAACTCAAGTTTGTATCCACCACTAACTTACTTTAATGTCAAGGTCATGAGTGCCATCAGTCATCCTCACTTGAGTTGCCCTTCTTCTTACACCTATCTATTCTATGGACCCATATCTTTCTTATCCTCATCTCCTCCAGCTTACATTTAACTTCAACATCATTCTTGATATTTTCAATCTTCAAATCCAAGGGTTTTGGATATATTTCACAAAGTAGCTGATAAGTTAGTTGTTATCTGAAAAGTAGTTATGTTTAATAAAAACTAACAGATGACAATGTAAAATGACCTAAAAGACCGTGTCAAAACGTTATTTGGAAAAATGTAATAGACACAATTAGAAGGAAATAGATTACTGAAACGTTATTTAAAGTAATTTTTCAAAAAAGCTAGCTTATAGCTAACCAAATAAGTTAGCTGTTAGCAAGGAAAAAACTAGGTGTCGGCTAATAATCTTTGCAGATAAACCAGCCAATCTGCTAAAAACTAGCTTACATGAAATAAATAACCTAAAAAGACATGTAGGAAAATTATAAGGGGTATAATTGGAATAAAGTGGAAAAGAACCCTAGTTGGCTTGACTACTTTAAGTAGCTTTTTTAAAAAGCTAACTTATAATTAACCAACAAGACTTTTTCAATAATCTCAAAAAATAAGCCTGCTTAGTGCTTATGGTTGCCTATGTCATACCCATTTGCAGGTTTCTATTGTGTACAATGATAAACTTGTGTGTTCATATATTTACTAGAAAATATATCAACAACACGAACCAAACGGCATCCGAGAATCTGGATTTCAGCATTCGGTGGCTGCAAATGTGTTAAAAAGGGTCGAAATCGGTACCAAAATTTCTCTAAGGGTGTCATGATATGCTTGTGGTAATTATCATCCATATTACATCTTAGTCGACTTTAAAGATTGATCAAACATTATTGCAGTTCGCAAAATAGGAAAACAACAATATATGTAAATGGTAAAAAAACAATTTTGATACAGGTGGAGAAGGGAGGGGAGGATACTATACTTGTACTATGGAATCTGTGGCTGACCGTTTGCTTCATGGAATCGGAAGGAATTGGAATCCTCGGTTCCCTTGACCAAATTCCATTCCTTCGACAGATTCCATTCCTTCAAAAACAATTTGCCCACCATGTGATCCCTTCTTCACTTATCCGCCTTAATCTGAAGTTTGCTCATCTCAGCATCCACCTTGTCGACACCAGATTCAGATGTTTTGTTAAGCCACGGGTGCTGCAAACACTGCTCAGCAGTTGGTCGCTTTTCTGGTGCAAAATCAAGAATCGGACTCAAGAATTCTGCAAATTCACGGGCGTCATTCACAGAGAATTTGAATTTTTCAACGAGTAACCGACTGAGAGGCCAGCTTTTCAATCTACGGATCCTTTTGAGGTCACCATATCTGTCAAAGTACTCTTTGGATCGAAGCCCTCCAACGGATATCTGTTTGTCGCCCCAGAAAGCATAAAGAAAACACATAATGGGTATCGAAATTAACTGTTTAAAAGGGGATTAAATGGATTCTTATATGCTTTTTTTTACCTTTCGAGGCATCTTTCCGAGTATTTCCATCATTAAAGCAAGGTGGTCCTGCATCAAGCCATGTTACATAAGCAAATCTTTCCATATCAGCAAATGACGACAAAAACCGTGTCTATGTGGCATGTACGCAAATCTTGCCTCTACCCCATAGGGTAGACAGGCTGTTTCTGTTAAGACTTTAAAAGGGGTGCAACTTGAGAACTTCCCACTTCTCTACCACCAAAGGCAACCAACACAAGCAAGACCAACCAAACATACCCAGAATACCCCACTCGAACAGGGTCCAGGGGTATGAGAGGTTGTTTCCATGAAGACCTTTAGCTTACGGAAGAAGTTATTAAGAAACAAATTTTCCAAAAGTTTTAAAGCAACCCAATAGACTAATTGGGCCAAATATGGCAGATACCATCATTATACAGAAAAAAACATATTTAATACTAGAACTCGGAATACCTCATCTTCGCTGAAGCCTTGTCCAATCTTGGGAGCAAACATCATCTCACCAGTAGCGAGCTCAAAGGCAGTGCAAGCAAACGACCACATATCGACGGAATACGTGTATCCAGACTGCAATATAACTTCAGGAGCTCTATACTGTCTTGTTTGAATTTCCTCTGCAATCGGTGTACTACCCCAGCAAGCATTTCCAAAATCCACAACTTTGCACCTAAAATCAATCCCATCTAGACATCTTTCCGGTTTTGCAGCCGGTGTTCCCCCTCCCATTGAAACCCGTCTTGCTGATATCCTAGCCACCGCTCGTCTAGCCCTCTGCTTTAGCTTTTTCTCGATAGCATTAATCACAGGTCCACCATTCATACCTCCCTCAGGCCTACTAAGAATGGGCCCGTTTTTCGATCTAATAGGGTCTTTTGAAGGATTTATGGTTGAAAGAAGAAGTATATTTTCAGGTTTTAGGTCTGTATGTATAATACCAAGTTCTCTATGCAAATAATCTAGTCCAGTCAGTATGCATCTGCAAATTTCTCTTACTTTATGTAACGGAAGGCCTTTATAGCGGTTATATCTGATGAGTTGAAGTATGCTGTCACCAAGAAATTCAAGAACCATGCACAAATGTTGTCCGTTTGGGCCTGTATGCTTGAAATGATCCACCAATCGTATAAGACACTTTTTACTTTCAGGGTCACCCTCGGTGATAGCAGAAAGAACTTCGATTTCATGGAGGGCAGATTGAGCAAATTCAGGTGCACTTTTCTGGATCTTGAGTGCAACATATTTCTACAGAACAACATTAGTAAAATAATTAAAGCAAATGACGTTTTTAAGATATTGAAGACAAATTGTGTGATTTAGATAGCTTCCTGACTGTTGCTATTCTATCAAGAAGTCTCTTTATAAAGTCCTTTACTATGCTTAATACATCCTAAATATGCCCACAGCTACAATAAACCAACACTCCAAAGAATTATCGAGCTAATTATTACGCTTGATTTGGTTCTCATAGAACCAGACAATCACAACATCCAATATGACAGTTAATAAATACTACAAGATTTACTTCTGGGGTGATTATTCATTTGAGGGAAATAACTACGCACAGGAAAAAAATGATGTGCTTACATCATATTTAATGGCGTATACTTCACCAAAAGATGACAAAGAACGTAATGGACGCCATCTCAAATTAGATTAAAGTTGTCGTAAAGATTCCTAGCTCATATGCTAAAGAATTAGGCACGACTGAATGAACACATAGACATCGTTATGACAGATTGAATGATAATAGACGAAGCTAGCTACTACAAGACAATTGTACAATTAAGCATACCATAGTACAAAAGGAGAATTCAATGACATCCACACGTCATTCATACATATTATTCTATCTCTTTTATCTCATTTTCTCTCTCAAACTTTCGAAGCCAATTTATAGTTTGGAACACCATTTTCTCAAAACCATTTTACAAGCCATGTGTCTTCACATAAACAGCCTCTTTGCTCCTCAGAGTAGACCCTACCCTTTTTTTCCGGAAGGGTGTCCCATGCTATGCCTAGACTAATCTTGACAAATTGTGACTGCAAGATATCAACCCTAACGAACTCAGGGGCCACAATTGTTGTGTACACCACACCTGGAATCGAACCTTGGACAGATGGGATATTCCACCACATTCGTGTAAGGGTCACCGGGTCCGTTTGGTTTTTTACATCATCCATACAACCATCAATAGAAAATTTACTGAAATGCACAAGATATTAAATGTGTTGCACCAAAAGAAGGGGGTGGGAGAAAACACTATGTACCACCATCAACATCATTTTAGCCGAGACAACATGACGATATCGAGAAACACTACTTCTTTTAGAATACACCTTATCTTCTTAATTGATCAAAGTACAAACACATTAGATATTTTCGAGTTGAAGATCAGAAAAAAAGACCAAAACTTGCTGCCCATCACTACTACCCTACAGAAAACAGTAGATGCATAACTTAATACTAAGTAGACAACAAAATTTCCTTCAGTTCTTGATTAAGAACCATGGATTGAACTCCAACTATGAACACCCACCCCCAATAATTTACATTCAATGAAATGCAACAGCAAATCATAAACAAAACATTCCAACTACAGATGAACATAAATTCTACCTTTGAAAATAACAAATGATCCACATTTTGTAACCATTAATAAAGAGATTATTTACTATATGGGATTCTCGAGGAGGGTTATAAATTTTGTATGCAGCCAAATGAAATCATCATCACTGTTCATGATCATTAATCAAGAAAAAAAATGGGTATGTGTGATCGAAGAGAAAACAAACTAGAAAGACAAAAAAATGGAAAAACTTACAGATGTTTGGGTATCATAAGCAAGCCAAACGGTGGAGAACTGACCCCATCCAAGTTTCCGTTGAGCGATGTACCGACCGCCGGCGAAGGTATCGCCGACTCTGACGGCGTGGTACCCTCCTTTCCGGTAGGAATCCATGCCCTCATCTTCCTCTTCCGACCCAGATGACGACGAACACGACATGATTAATTCCAATGGATGGATTGATTGATTGATCTACAATACCCAGTAAACGATTCAAAGAATCGAACTTTGGTGGGGTTAAATTTTGGGAGAAATATACCCAAATGTTAAAAATTATTGTGGGAAATGAGGTTGATTTTGGGAAGAAAAGGGAGAGAGAGAAAAAGAGTGTGTGTCTTGATTGTTATTGCAGGTCTGTGTGGCCTTCCATACAAGGCTCTCTCCACATTTTACTCTTCTTCCTTTTTTTCTTCTACTTTTCCTTTTCTTTCTCAATTATTTCCTTTGTACAAATCTTCACTTCGACAAAATATCAACTACCAACATCCCATTGGTTCCTAGTCTTTAGCATGCCCAAACCTAAGATACCATAAGTTGGCTCAATTTTGATCGTCATATTTAAAAGATTATGAATATTAATACAAGAAAGTTAATCAAAAGGGAAAAAAGTCTATGACTTCCCCCGAAATAGATATAGCAGAGCAATGAGAATGATGAATGGCTTCTATCTGTGGATTAAAAGTCTGTTGATTCTCGATGTACTTTTGTCTTTGTGAGGATATTGCTTCGGATTTGATGCTGATGAAAAGTAACTCAGTTGGTATCGTAAGGATAAGAATGTTTGATGGAGCTATTCGTATATTGGGAAATGTGATATACGTTGTTGATTTGAAGAGGTACGTGATATCTGTTAGCATCCATGATGAGAAGGGTTATTATTTTTATGAGTGAAAGTGGAGTTATAAGGTCAACAAAGGGCTCTTGGTGATTACGACACCACATCACAAGACCTTAAACTTATGTGTCTTGGAAGCTTGGTTTATGGTGACGTAACATCTGATTTTGATGATACAGAGTTATGTCACCGCCATCTTGGGCATATGAGGGAGAACGAAATGACAGAGTTAAGCGAGTTGGGTCTTCTTAGTGAGCAAACTTCAATTTTGCTTAACTGTCTTCACTTGGATCTTTGAGAACCAATTAGAGTGTCACTTCCACGATGGTTAACCATCATTGATGACTTTTCAAGGAAGGTTCAGATCTTCTTCTTGGAACACAAGATCTTAGTATTGATTTCAAGGAATGGAACTTGATCGGGAAAAAAAACCAATCTACAATCTAAGGGACAAACACAAATTTTATTGATAAGGCACACGAAAGAATCAAGTTACCTTAAGAACCAGAAGGGCTTGATTGTGAATTTCATTGAGATTCCAAAAATTCATCGACGATTGTTCAAGGAAGGCTAGGATGTTTTTTTTATTAACCTGGATATCCAACCCGCTATGCAAGCCGACTAATCCCAGGGAGACCACCTGCTTTGCAGATAGCCCAAGTCACCGCATTTGAACCTCTGTGGCCACAAGAGGATTTTTATTCCTCCTTGGATTTGAACTTGAGACCTCCTGGTATTTTTGACATTTGGAGCCAAGCTTAAACCAATCAGGCACCACCCTTGTGGTTAGGTTAGGATGTTTTTTCGGTCTAAGGGTTGAGAACACCTCTCTAATAGATGGTAAAGGTGTTCTACTTAGCAGTCTACCTTCGGTATCATCAAATAATAATTAAACAATCACCATAAACATAAAATTCCTATCATTCTCCTCCCTTGTTTTGAAATGTGCCAAATCTTTAGGATATTCTCATTCGTCATTGAAGCACAAATCGTACTTTTTGCCATAAATTTACCATCTCATTATAACAAGAGATAATGTCTTATCGACGTTGCTTGAATAACCACAATTTCTTTTTCAGTTCAAAGTTCAAACACTTTGGATAAATCCTCATCATTAGAGTAAGTCTCTCTAATACCATCCTCAAATTTCTTAGCCTCCATGAACATAAACGGATGACGGATTCGCTCTTTCCATTGAATTCAATAATCATCGCACGGTCAAGGAATCTTGAAATCTAGCAATGAAACGTCGGATCAGTTGCTACTATTTTAGTTCTCCATCAGTCAAAAAACCAAGATTGCCTCAACTGTCGAAAGTCAATATAACAAAAAAGTCTGCCCGTTACAGAAAACTAAGACCATTTAAGCATCGTTGATATAGAAGCCACCTCCAAACTAGCCAGAACAAAGTAGGAAGAAAAAAGCTTGAGAACCAGAATTCTAAATCGAAAATCCAAAAAAAGGTACAATGAAACGAGTCGGAAGAAGAAAAGGATAAGAAAAGGAAGGCTTCAGTTCTTAAATTCAAAATGAAGATAACGCATGCACAAAAGGAAAAAAAAAACCCTAAAGTTCTAATACCATGTTGTTTAAAGAGGAATTTATAATTTATCGATTGAATAATGAGTGAATTAAAATTTCGTCTATGGTTATATTAAATATATAGATGAGGTTCCTTAAATAAACTTACAAGGGTGGTTACGATAATTTCGTATATGTTATGGATCAAGTCCGTAAGACGAACTATGTATGGTCTATCTTTGCTCCATAAACCATAGAGGGGGATTTTGTTAACAACCTGTTTAAAAATACTAGAACGGTACTCGCGCAAAACAGCGAGATACATCTTTTCTTTAATGTTTCGTTTTATTTTTTGTCTCTATTGATATGGTACGGTTTATATAGTTTTAATAAAGATAATGTTTTTACTTTTGAATAAAAATATATTTGAAGATATAAAAATTTGAAAAAATATATCAATATTAATATCAAATTAACTATTTAAAAGTTCTCATTTTTTATACAATTTCTTTAATTTATTTTTTTGTTGTAATTTAATTTATGTCTAATAGCGAAGTAATTTATTTTTTAGGTTTAACAATATGATTTTTTATAAAGATAATGATTCTGTTAGAATTCAATGATTATCATAATTATATTTTAAACTTTTTATATTTAAAATAAGATATTTATCATGTATTTGATTATGTTTATCTACAGTTAGTTATACGAATTCAAAATAAAGTTTTAATAAGTTGTACTCACGCACAATTTTTACTTGTAATCTTAAATTTTAAGTAATATGCATTAAGAAACAGTACTTTATGCATAAAGAATAGTTTTTAGAGTTTTTGTTAAATGTTTTATAGTATAGTATAGATAAACTATAATGTAAAAGAAAAAGGATGTTAAATATTAATAAACAGAAAAAAAGGGATTGTTAAATAATAGAATAATAATTAAAAAAAGGGTTATAAAATAGTTATTTTTAAGTACTAAAGACAAAACAAAGGGATGCTAGTAGCAGGTTCACGTATTCTATGGTGGCATGTGGTGCATGGGAGGAGGGTCGTTTATCAAATACTTATCTGGTAAATGTTTACCGGTAAAATTTAATACTATTATTTATTTATCATGTAAGATTTTAGTCCACAAAAACGACATGGTATGCAACAATTTACTCGGTAAGCGCTTACCGTGGTAAGAGTCGTTTACCTCACTTACCGGGCAAGACTCTTGGTCCTTGTCTCGCTCTTACCAGGTAAGATTCTTGGTCCTTACCATATTCATCCGGTGAGGTAATGTTACTTGGTAAGCGCTTACCCAGATAAGAGTTTGGTAAACGACCCTTAACCTAGTTCTAAACTCCTTAATATTTTGGTATATATCGGAACCTCATTCTTTTTTTTTTTTTGGCTGATTTTATTAAACCTCCGATAGAAAATACACCCCCCATCTTTTGGCAAGGTAGAGATAAAGAGTTAAAGACGAAAAGAGAATGTTAGAAGTTAAAAGAGAGATCGAGGATAGCTAAAAACGCAATGATTGAATGTTTAAATTTTGGTTGTCTTAACCTCTGATACATGCTAAAATTTAGTGTTTTCCATTGTTTCTACTTGGATTTTAAAATTAGAAACATGCCTCATACATGTTAACTATGTGATTTTACGTTATGGTTCATGTAATTCAATAAAACTTAAAATATGTTCACCGATATTTTACTATCAAGAAGATAGAACATATCTTTCGCGTTTAAACAAGGTTTGATAAAATATATATATCATCGAGGCGGTAATACCATGTCAGGGGGTCACATAAATGATCCCGGACTCTTGATGAAGGGTCCGAAATAATACTGGACAGGGGCGAGATCCGCCGTGGAAATTGGATTTTTAAAATTTTGATTATATGAGTATGTTAACATGTGTTTTCTATTTGGAATGAGGTTGTACATTGATTTTTATATGCATTAACATTTTGAGCTTGTAATCACTAAACAATTCAAATTGTTTAAAAGTTAGTATGCATCATAGAATAAATCGTGTCATATGACCATTAGTCGACTTTTCGTTCGGTTTGTATTATATGATTTTGATATTAAATCGTGTCTTGGTATATGTGTATTAGAAGCTTAGATTGCGTATTGTAACTGCGATCCATCGAAATGGTTTTATATGAATAAGATTATGTTTGATTTCAATTGTTTCCGCTTTACTTAAATATGTTTTATGTATTCACATATGAATGGTTATAAAAGAAAAATGTTCGTAACACCCTTCATTCTCGACTTAGAGATGGAAATGTGGGGTGTTACAATTTTTGTCATTTTCAAGTTGATTCTTTGTTGATAAGACAACCAGGGGTACAATCCTGAGTAGCACTCCAACCTTTATCAAGGCAATTGATTGAAAACTTAGCCATAAACTACTATCAATTCCTACGTGAGCCAATTATTCATAAGAAGGCAGCTAAGTCTTCCGAGACTAATGTATTCACAATCATAGTGGTCAAGATTGATGATAGGAGTGCTCAAGTCAATGATAAGTTGATAAAGATGAGCAAGATTCAATAACCTCAAGAGAAATCGATATTAGCTTATGAGATATGTGGGGAACAAGTTCACGAATTCAGGTCATGCCCGATAGCTAATAACATGACTTGGTAACAAATGAATGCCCTGCATATTCAGCCTTGAGGTCAATATAAAGTTAATAATCCAAATGCACATGCTTACAGTGGAAATGGAGCAAGCATCCTAATCTTTCATGCTGCCATTACCTGTAACACCCATATTTTACCATGAGAAATGTTACGTAATCTAAAACAGATTCTCCAAAAGCATTCCAAAAATAATGGCTAGATTAAAGCTTTAGACCGTTTACAATGGAATACTTAAATAAAATAAATATATAACTTAATGTCAGCCCGTCCCGTACCGGGTTGCTTAACAAATTTATCTATCATAGATGATTGCACCTAAATATTGAACTTAAATAGACTAGACAAGTCTCTATGTATGCCAT